TAAAGCAACACACAAATGCAGATTCTTCCTTTTCACACAATGCCCTTTATAGCCTCATCTTTAGCTTCTTGTGGCTGTCAGTCAGAACCCCACATTCCTCTTAATTAAACTAGAATGCACAACCCATTGAATATATTATAAAAAAACATATTCTCATATTGTCTGTTTTTTTTTGCAATGTTGCTGTTTTGATTTAAACCATATGCATTTTCTTATATTTTGCTCCTCAAACATTGACAAATGTTTTTTTCCAACAGGTGTTGAACATTCCCTGGGCTTTCCATAAAATCTCTTCATTGCAAATATCAACAAAGCATGCAATATTTCTCAAAGTACAGACTAAGCTATAGAGTTCTGAATTAAAAAAACATGACAGTCATATTGTGTTTCTTGCTCAGGGGTGAGTCGACAGATCTACTACAAGAGATGAAATATGTCAAACTAATAAAAGCAATTCTGGTTGGTGCTTTTTCTCCAGTGGCATGCTTATAGGAATACAAAATCCATTCATCCAAGCAAGGTACACCATATTCTCAACTCACACAACCTGTATAAACAAGCCATGTTTAGACTGTTTTCTTCCACATATCTTGATTGAATCAATCTTTGTTTGCCTGTGTTGAATGCAAGACAACTAAGACCAAGTCACACCCTAATGGCCGCGTAAAGGAACTTTGTCAGACAGGCAGTCACATGGACAAGCACCCAGGCAGCGCAGAGACAGACTGATATGAAAGCAGTCGGCCAAACAGGCCTTCAGGTGGAGAGACTGGCAGGCAGGTGGTCGGGGTTGGCAGGCAGCCAGGCGAGGATGTAAGTGGACAGCGAGAAAGGCCAACCAGCATTCAGACGTATTGACTCCCAAAGCAGTCAGGCAGACTGTCAAGTGGAGAGACAGACAGACTGAAAGATAGGGAATCATTTGACTGTGCTTCCCGCCATCCCTTGTGGTCCACAAAGGACTTAGGCAGGCGGCATGAGGTATGTCGCTGAAACCCCTGATGACAAGCAGAGAAAGGATAATGGAGAGTTTCAAATGGTGACAGCTAAAAAGGAGGCAGAAGTTTTTAACGGACTCCAAACTTTTTACCTCTTTAACTTTTTCTTGGGCTATAAGGGCATAGTTTACAGCAAAAGTCAAACTCCTAAATATATTGTTGGAAGAGGCAATTAATCACACAGTTGTATTGGTTGAAATTGTTTATGTTGTCATGGTATATTGAAGTTTTTATTTCTGTTTACGAATATATGTCGTTAGCCATTTTCATGCTATAAAGTGCTCGAATAAATATTTTGCTGTTTACGACATAATAGTGCCGTCATGCAGTTTTTTAGTGCACATTGCAAAACAATGGTTCAAAAGCGGTACACTATTAAAAAAAGAGACTGCATAGGTTTGAATCGCAACCAGTTTTTGACCGTATATATATATATATATATATATATATAAATATATATATAAATACTGTATATGTGAATATCAAGTCGGTGGATCCGATCAAATTAAACTTGAATGGAAATAGTCACGTCATGGATTTTAAATAAACCCTCGTTCAAATTTTCCCTGGCTCCTGTGAGTATATTGTAATTAATTAGAACACAAGTCAGAACTCAGATACCTTGTAGACTAAGTGCCAATGCCACTTTAACTTGAAGCATGGTAAACTGCCACTAGAATTGTAAATATGCCAATAATACTTATAACAGTTCTAGTTGGGCCTTATGTAATCAAAGGGATATCCCTTCTCTTAGCCAGAGGTTTAAGTGTTGTAGCTACCAGCTAATATGTTACCAAATTAATGAAATTTGAAACATACAAATATTTACTTCATCAAAAACAGTTTGTCACAATCTTTTCAATATTTTTTTAAATGATCACCACACTAGGAGATGTACCTCATACTGTAAGCTTGAGTGAATGAATGACATCCCTCTGCTGGATGTGCTGGATGGGTGCACCTCCTGACTCTTTTCCTTTCGAGGTGTGGCTGTGGCTGAGCAGTGCTGACAGCCATTTCCTTCCCCATTGGCTGCAGAGCTGCTTGCTGTCCGTGATGACGGAGTCGTCACTGATGTCCCTTCATCATGCAGTGATGGCCTCGAAAAAGGTCAGCGATGACAAAGTTGACTTTAATGGCCATTACGATGTCCAGACACATCAGTCAAACAGTTTGACTTGACAACGTTGTACTTTTTCTGTCCCTTTTGTCGTCAACATTACAAATGCCTTCCACAGTGACAGACATCCCAAGTTACAAGAATACGCTTTTCCCAAACTGCCATAGACATAGTTAGGGTTCAGACAACCAAACCTCGCAAAGACTATGAAAAGATTCTGGTCCTGATTTTCTTTTTGAAGTGGTAAGGGATGTAGGCCTGTCCGACTCCTTCCTCAGGGGGTTATATCATTATTGGCCCTCTGCCGCAAGTGGTAACTTGTCATGAAAACATATAGACTAATGTATATCTACCAGTGCTGTCGGTGAGTTAAGAAAGTTTCTTTCATTCATGGTTTCCTATAAAACTTAAAGGCAAATAAACATCTCTTGACTTCCTCTTTATATTTTACTCTTAACATTTAATTTTCCTTTCTTACTCCCTCCAAAAATACATTATTTTTAAGTGAGGACTTTTGTTTTGGCATGACATTTTGTCAATGTCCATTTGTTGCTGTGTCATCTCATTAGCCCTGATCTGTAATCGTACGTTTTTTTCTGCTTTATTGTGACAAACTGGCCAATCCAAGTCCTGTGAGTTGAATGAAGGGGTTGTAGTGGCCTTATGTCAGTTTGTCTGACATTATCTGACAGGCTGAAGGAGTGAATGACGGCTTTTCATAAAGAAGAATGGCAGTTTTATGTGTCTACCAGCTGCTCCCACACCCCCATTCCCTAACCTCCCATACACTACTTGTGTATGTGGGTGTGTGTATGGCATTCTTCTGTGTAATGGTGTATGGGCTTGGGTTGTGTGTATTTGCTGTGGGACATGTTTCAAATAAACCGACAAAGTAAATTATTGGCATTCTAACACATGCTGACGCACAAAAGTATTTGCTTAAAGATGTATTAATTCATTCATTTTTTTTTATGTTTGCTTTGTGTGTGGAGTTATTTTAATGTGGGACATGATCTGGTTCTCATGCAGTATCACTGATTCTGAATTACCCACTTGGGAAATCAATTTAGAATATGAATAGAAAGGTCCCCATTCAGGTTTACAACATCACTTCAGATTCATTCATTTCAATTCCTACAAACCCAGATGTTGAGAATCTCCCCAGATCGCCTCAATCGTTTAGATAAAATAAATATAAAATGATGAATCTCAACAGGGGGTATAAATAGATGAAATATTACTTATTTAATCATTTTAGAAATAACCCTGGTCAGTGAATCTGTGTGTGGGGTTATAGTGGACCAGCAAAGGCTTTGCGCAGTGTTACCCCGATGGATTTGTTTCAAATATCTGGCCGCAGAGAGAACACATTGCAAAGGCCACCACTTTCTCTGTCATAAAAAAACAGTAATAATATTAGGTGTCATCAACTTTGGTTGCTCTTTCCTGCCCAACTATTGCAGGATATCCTTTGGAATGTGAAACAGGACTTATTAGACTGCCGATTGTTTCCACAAATCCTTTCTATTTCACGAGAGAGCAAATATAAACAGCAAGCCAGTTCGTACTGCTGCCATATCACTAATAGCTAATTGTCATCATTTTGGAAATATTCTAGGTTTTGTGTTCTAAGCAGAGAACACTGTTGGGAGATTTCAACTTCCCACAGCAATCAGCCCCCTCCTTGCGGAGCTGCAAGAACTGGGAATCGTGACGGCGTCTCTCGGTCGTGCTTGCGAGCTGGCTTGCTGCTCACAACACGGGCTTGTGTTGCCCGCTGGAGGCGAGGCAGGGGAAGGCACGCAAACAGAAGGGAAAGATGAGGCGCTCCGTATTTGCCAGTCACTCCTCCGCTTGCTGTAGCCGCGGCCACCCTCTTCGTCCCCACAGCAGGGAGAAGACAAGTATTGGCACGGCGCACGGCCAGCTCCACACTTTTGTTCGCCCAAATGCGGCCGAGAAAAAAAAAAGTAACCCCAGATGAAGAATGTGGTGTGAGTGTGATTAATTATAAGATGAATCTCAATAGTAATACAACTAACATGTAGAGAGAGTCTCGTCGCGTCCTTACTGTCATCCACAGGTCTGGCAGTCTCACCCACCGCGCGCACCCTTACACACACACACACACACACACACACACCACACACATATATATATATTTTTTTCTTGATGCACGTCCACGCTGCGAAAGCCCGAGCGCTCCTCACTCTCTCCTCACTTCACTATGCTTCCTGTCCTCCTCTCAACAACATCCAGAAATATAGCGCAACCGTCCCCATCACTCGTTTCCTCCCCTCCTCCTTTCTCTCTCACCACCAGATCTCTCTCCACTGCGTCTCTCACCCCTTTGCTCCCCCCACCCTCCACCTACCAAGCTCGGTCCCTCTCACTCCTCTGACGCACGACAGGGAAACGGACCCGAGGAAAGCAAGACACCAAAAAAAAAAAGGAAAAAAAAAAAAAGCAGCAGCTGACCCAGCCGCGTCGATATGATCCACAGACTCTTGCTACTGCTGCACCGGACAGAGACGCGGTCCTGAAACCGAGGGGTGAACACTCTCACCCGGCTACACTGTCGCTGAGTGCTCGCCCGGGGGGCGGCGACGGCGGCGGAGAAGGAGGAGGAGGAGGAGAGGGGAGGAAGAGGAAGCGGACGGGCACAACTCGAGGGCTTGCATTTTAAGCAAACTGTTTAGAAAAAAAAGGAGACGAGAAAGAAGGGTAGAGAGTCAGAGTCACCCGAGAGCGTGAGTGGGAGAGATTGCATTCCTATCACGTCTTCAATCCTCTATTTTGCCTCAGCCGCTGAGAGAGAGTGAGAGAGAGAGAGAGAGAGAGTGAGAGAGAGAGAGAGAGAGAGAGAGCGAGAGAGAGTGAGAGAAGGGGAGAGAGAGAGAGGGAGACATAGAGGGAGGGAAAAAAAGAGAACGAGAGAGAGAGAGAGAAAGAGAGAGATCTAACAAGATTCGCACTAGTGGGCTTTTTTTCCCTGATGCTGTCCAATTGCAGTACGAAACTAAGGTGAGTGTTTAAGCTGTGTGTGCCTGTCCATGAAGTGTATCAAGAGGGAAACCGTATTATGCAGATGTGTGTGTATGTGTTATGTGTCTGCATTGCCATGGACTGCCAGCGCTCTCCGTACATCAAGGATAACGGATCGTAGGGATCCATTTGACTGATCAATAGCCGTTTGTTCTTTATTCACCGTTTCCCTGCCAATGTCACGACGAAAGGCACGACTGCATTATGCTTGGCATGCATTTCAACAAGCGCTCTTGCTCTCTCCGCTGTATTGACAGCAATGCTATTTTTGGGGGGATTTCAGTGGACGAGATCCTTGACCGGTTTGGATAAACTGGAGCTTGTCAGATGTCATCGTTTCCCAATAACTTAGTTTGATATAAATCCAAGATTAATAGGTCGCATTGACATTGCCACTCACAGGGAGCAACACTTTTAATTTATGTAAGTAGCCAAAAGCTTGGTTTTGGAATCCGTGGCTCATTCGCATGCATATCTCTTCCTCTCTCCCTCCTCAATGCCCTACTCTCTCTCTCTCTCTTTCCGTCTCCCCTCTCTGATTCCTCCTGTTCCTCTAACGGCTCGGTCACCTCCCGTTTCTTGTTCTCTTCCTCACAGCCCGGCATCGGACGGTGAGCGGGACGCACTGGGCAATAACAGAAACCATCGCTGGAGGATATGTGAAGTTGGAATCCCCGTAAACTAAGTAGGTATAGCACCTGATTTGATACACCCAAGGGAATATAATATGGCAGCATTATTTGAATTGCTTTTAATGTCGTTAATACTTTTTTGACATTGCATCTGCGCTTTTTGATCTCTATCATGGAAACGGAATCAATAAATCCTGGAGGATTACGTACGGAGAGGGCAATGAAAACAGTGATTTTCACAGTGAGGAGATCGTGCTCAAGGATCTTTCTTTTTTTCTCCTTGGCGCATTTTACTGTCACGTCTTTTTTTGGGATTACAATATCTTTCTTTCTTCCTCTTTTTTTCCCTGTCGCTGTGCTTTTGGTTTCAGCACCATGGACAGCGGCTCTGCTCCGGCAGACGGTCTCATCGGGCGAATCTTCTCTGGATTGCCTGCACCCTCGTTTGAACGGATAGCACTGTGCGTGTAAACAAAAAAGTCACGGACCTACAGAAAAGATATTCAGGGGCTAGGGGATACTTTGTACGTGTGACATTATCCTACTTAACACCATGGAGATACTGAACAGACTTTTCTATGAGCCCATCTTATTATTAATAGTGTCGATATAAGTATTATTATTATTATTATTATAATGTTATTATTACCATTAATATTAGTATTAGTATTATTTACATGCGTCCTCTCTTCCTGTTATTTATTTCTAGGCCGGCCGGATACTAAATCACAGCCTCATGAGCTTTTCGAAACCAGGTTCGCCAACTGCGTTTTTCACTTAAACCGTTGCTCCACTAATCCTCCGATGGCATCACCACTTGGGAAACCCAGAAGAAGTTGACTTGATTGTATGTTTGGCAAATCATAGCAGGATCCGTTGCAACAATAAATCGACAGTTCCCTCACTCTTTGGACTTATGTAATGTAACCCAAGAATACGCAGTGGGAGAATAGTCTCGGTTTTGCCGTGTTCTGCACGTCGGAACAGTGGCGGTTCTATGCATTTGTAACTGGGGTGGCCCAGGGGTAGCAACGGAATGTCTAGAGGTGGCAATAAAATATGTCAATGCCTGCGCACAGTTAGCTGATATATATATTTTTTTGGCATTAATATTCTACTAATAATTGACTAAATATAATATGCTACATGCACACACAACTGTTGATGGCCAGTCTCCTTCTGCAGAAATTTATGTTAATTAAGTAGGCTACCGTTAAAAATGACAAATATCATCTTATTCCTATAGCTCCCTTACAAAATGTAATGCTCACCACCAACAAAAAATGCACGATATGCAAACCCTGGGTTTCACCTTACTCTAAAGTAATTCAAAATTACTAATCTGAATTATATACAGCATACATTGTATCATTGGCTGATAAAATAAGACAATTAGCCTGGATGTTTTTGGATAACAAATAATGATCAGATTCTGACCATATTCAAGCAGTTAAAGTCATAGACTTTGTTCTGCAGTACAAACTGCAAGGTGTTGGGCTACTCCTGCCACAGTACATCACAGTCTTACTCTGACGAGACTGCATGGAGTGGCTGGATAAGTAACATGCATCGTTATGTGTCATGTGATTTTTTCAACAAAGACAAAATGTGTATTACCATCTTCAGGTTCCTGAGCTCGACTATAAAAAATGTCATATTACTTTTATGTATTATAATAATATGAAAAATACTCTTAACTGTAGCTAAACATGTCATGGATCTATAACAAACCATTCATACAAAGAGATGACGAGGCCTTAATAATACTAACAACAATAACAACGACAATAATATTAAAAATAATAATGATAACAACAATAAAAAGCTGACTTGATGAATGGTATAAGCTTCATAAGTATTGGACGGAGTGAATGGATGCTGGAGCAGTTGCTGTGAGCATCTGTATTGCTGGGGATGGATTTTTTGTTATTGGAGTTTTAATTGAAATCCCAGTGCGTCTCAGATATGCTTAAGGGTGCCTTGTGCGTCATTATCAGATCCCGAGGGCTGTGACAAACCGACAGTAATTGAAGACCTGACAATGAGTCCGGGCTGTGTTCGACTGAAAAGTTGTGTCCTGCTCCGGGGCTCGCACGTGTTTATGTTGCTTATTGTTTTGCTCCCTTAAATGCAAACCAGCACGGCATCAACCATACAGACAAGTAATGGGCTGGCCAAACACACGCCCCACAGCAAGGTAAAAGCCAATGATGTGGTACAAACTTGGGGTTGGCGTCTGGGGTTGCAAATCAGATTGTAGGGGTGGCACTGGCCACTGCTATCAAACTGTGCATGCGTCAGAGTCTTTGGACCTATTTTGACAATTTCTTACCTTTTTTTTTTTTTTTCAAACATCTTTAAACTGGTCAAGCTGAGACCCTGCATTTACCATAGCGTCAGTGGCTTTCTATCAGATTTCTGTGAGTTATAGACTAGAACATACAAATATGTTGAGATTCATTTTAACGAGATTGATGTCCCTTGACAGTCCTCTTCTCATCCCACTAATGGTCACCGAGCTGATACCTATTCCGTTCCTGTCCACTTCCTGCGATATACTCTCATTTACCGAAAGAGGGATTGAGGTCCCGGTTATGTAATAAATACAGCAGGGGGACAGTGTCTCCTCACCACTAACCTTATCCACCTGCTGTTGCCTTAGTTTATTCACGGTGATAAGCATCTCTAAGGGTGATTTATTGCGACCTTACCCGCATGTCTGCTGTATAATAAATGACAATTCCACCTATTTACTGTTGTTAACTGTCTCGATGCAGAGATTTGTTTGTGTTGCTATAGGTTTCATATTACCTATCCAACAGTGCTGGGTTTATATATGTTTGAAACAACCCAGCTATTGACACAGCAAAAGTATTGTCTCCGATGCCATTCTATTATCTAATGGTATTTATTTAAAAGCTGTATTCCATTCTATTAAAACTAATGCATCCTTCCTCTCTTTCTCTCCTACATCTGCTACTTCTGTGTGTATTCCCCACCCCCATTACCTCCCTCCCATCCATTCTCTCTCCCTCTGTTCTTTGTTGCAGTGCTGTGAAGTGGCTCTGTCCCTGGAGCCAAGACTTCATCCCTTTGGTGTCAGCGAGGATGCTGTGGGTTACCTTGCTGAGCACCATAGCCTTAGGATGGACCACCCCGATGCCACTACTAGAGGACTCCGAGGAGATCGACGAGCCCTGCTTCGAACCCTGCTACTGCGAGGTTAAAGAGGGAATCTTCCATGTCCACTGTGACAGTAAAGGATTTACAAATGTCAGCCAGATCTCCCAGATATGGAGCAGGCCATTCAAGCTCAACCTGCAGAGAAACTCCATGAGGAAGCTTTACTTTAACAGCTTCCTCCATCTCAACAACGCCATATCCATTAACCTGGGTAATAACGCCTTGCAAGATATCCACGCGGGAGCGTTCAATGGCTTAGGAATACTCAAACGGCTGTTCTTACATGAAAACAAACTAGAAGTGTTCCGGAATGACACTTTTCTGGGGTTGGAGAGTTTAGAGTATCTCCAGGCGGACTACAATGTTATCAAACGGATTGAAAGTGGTACGTTCAGGCATCTTCACAAATTGAGAGTGCTCATACTGAATGACAATCTGATCCCTGTGCTCCCAAATTATCTTTTCCGATCTGTGTCACTCACACATCTGGACCTAAGAGGAAACAGACTAAAGACATTGCCGTACAAGGGCACACTGGAGTACGTTGGAAGGAGCTTAATGGAAATCCAGCTGGAGGAGAATCCCTGGAACTGTATCTGTGAGATTGTCCAGTTAAAAACTTGGCTGGAGAGAATTCCTTATACAGCTTTGGTAGGTGAGATCACATGCGAGTACCCATTCCACTTACATGGGAAAGACTTACGGGAAATCAAGCGCAGTGAGCTCTGTCCGCTGCTCTCAGATGGGGAGATTGAGGCCAAGCTCGGAATTCCCCGGATCCCATTCAGCAATGAGAACACATGGCCTACTAAACCTTCCTCCATGCTCTCGTCTTTTCACAACACAGCCTCTTCTGTGGAATACAAGGACAGAGTTGTCAAGCCCACCAAACGACCTCGGCCCACAAAGAACCCTCCAACCCCTCGTAGCATCTATCCAGGCATCAACCAGCCCCCTGTTGCTGGCTACCAAACAAGGCCTCCCATCCCAATAATTTGTCCAGCTGGATGTACTTGCAACCTTCACATCAATGACCTCGGGCTAACAGTGAACTGTAAAGAGAAAGGCTTTCACAACATCTCTGAGCTCCTCCCACGGCCCCTCAATGCCAAGAAATTGTATCTGAGTGGGAACCTAATACAGAAAATATACCGATCGGATTTCTGGAACTTCTCAAGTTTGGATTTACTGCATTTAGGGAATAATCGGATATCCTACGTCCAAGAAGGCGCCTTTATCAACCTGCCGAACTTGAAAAGTTTATATCTGAATGGGAATGACATTGAGAGACTCACCCCTGGGATGTTTCGGGGGCTTCAGATGTTGAGTTATCTTTACTTTGAGTATAATGTCATACGTGAGATACAACCTAACTCCTTCTCCCTAATGCCAAACCTCCAGCTGGTTTTCCTCAATGACAACCTGTTACGCTCCCTTCCCAATGACGCTTTTGCTGGCACCAATCTTGCACGCCTCAACCTCCGAAACAACTACTTCCTTTCCATGCCTGTGCGTGGTGTTCTGCAGCATCTGACCTCCATTGTCCAGATTGATCTCCATCAGAACCCCTGGGACTGCTCTTGTGATATCATCCCCCTCAAGCATTGGCTGGAAAAGCTCTCCTCTGTCATTGTGGTTGGAGATGTCATGTGCAAGACACCCGAATTTGTGTTTGGGAAGGACCTGCGTTTACTGGAGGTCGAAGTCATCTGTCCTGAGCTCAAGTACCCTTCAGGCCCCTCCCCGGCCCTGCCTGGTATGGATGACTTCACCACAGGGAGCTCTGACATGGGGGAGGCAGGTGGGAGAGGGGCTGTCCCACTGTCTGTCCTCATTCTCAGCCTACTCATCCTCTTCATATCTGCTGTGTTTGTTGCTGCCGGGCTTTTCGCCTTTGTTCTTCGTCGCAGGAAGAACCTTCCTTTCCGGAAACGTTCTGAGGTAGATCTGACGGGGATCCAAATGCAATGCAGGATTTTCGAAGACCCACCGAGGCAGAGCACTGCTGGTAACACTGGCACACCAGAGAAACCGACACCCAGTATGCACAGTATGCACACACACACCCACACTAGTCACACTCATGCCCATGGTCACGTTTATGATTACATTCCCCATCCAGTGACGCAGATGTGTAACAACCCCATCTATAAACCTAGAGAAGGAGAGATAGCAGTGGAAGACAGACTGCAGTTTTCAGAGAAGAAAGACAATGGCAGCAGTAGCAACAGTAACTACAGAACCTTATTAGAGAAAGAGAGAGAGTGGACCCTGGCCGTCTCCAACTCTCAACTCAACACTATCGTCACAGTTAACCACTCCACGGCTGACATGGCAGGATTTCATGAGAACGGAGGGCTCTGCCCTACAGTAATTGACAGTCAGAGGCCCACACCAACAGTGGGCTTTGTAGACTGTTTGTATGGGACAGTACCCAAACTAAAGGACATGCATGTGGCGCATGCGCACCCACCAGGCATGCAGTACCCGGATCTGCAGCAGGATGCACGGCTGAAGGAGACATTGCTTTTCACGGCGGGGAAAGGCTGCTACCCCGACCCGTCCCAAAGCGATTACCTCGAGTTAAGGGCCAAACTTCAAACCAAGCCGGATTACCTCGAAGTCTTGGAAAAATCGTACCGGTTTTAACATCTCTATCCCATGGAGAAAAAAAACAAAACACAAAATCAAAACATTTGCCACCCTGAAGACAAAAATCACCCCAAACCAATATAACAGAAAACAAACTTACGAGAGCAGCATGATATAAAATAAAATATTATATTACAGTTACAGTTACAACAAAGTTTCCCCCCAAAATCACTTTGGAGGAGAGGCCATTCTCAGATATTTCAATGAAGTGCCTTTTTTTCAGAGTAGCCAGCAATGTCAACAGCCGTTATTTTTATAATATATAAATATCTCTATATGCCCAAGAAAGAGCAAAAGAGGAATGAGAGGGGCACCGGGGAATAAAACATATAAAACATCCTAAAATACATCCGTCACTATAACCCTTTTTCATGGAGTTACCATGATGCTCAAGAAGCACGGGAGCTGGACGTCTCCCTGACTTTGGGGTTTCTTGCTGTACTCTTTAACCCCTGACTAGGATGTACAAACACCCGGAGGCCGTGCACATGAAGTTTGTAGGAAATGATCGAAAGAGAGAGAAAAAAATACATATATTAAAATGAACTGCAGTTTGCTGCATGCACTCGCTTCAGTGCAGGAAGCGAGGGGATTTACTCAGACTATCACATCACATTATGAACAGAGATACTGCAACACATTTACAGTTCAGTGTTCTATTTAATTTTTATATCTTATTAATATGGTTATTACTATTGATGAGGACTTCTGTCTATATCAGGGTGCTTCTCGTAAAAAAAGGATGCGCCGACGCACGGATGGTAAAACATTTGTGAATATTATTATAAGACAACGCTCAAGGTTTTCTGGATATTTCCACGCACTTTGTTGACACCCCATTGCTTCTGGATTCCCATCGTCACCCACTAACGGCTTTGTAGGAGGCACTTTTAATGTTTTCTCTCTCACAAAGATTTGAAGAAAAATGTGCATATATTTATTCTGTAATTTCAGTGAAGACTTTAATTGTAAAGGTAATGTTAAATCAATGTATAGTGATTATGCGTCTGGTATAGCCTTCTTAATAAAAACAAACTCTTCAATCAAATGATGAAAGGGTTGATGCCACGGGAACCTGTGTGTGGAGCACTATTGACACGCTGTGTATTTGGTGTCTTGTTAATGGCATGGAGGCGCTGTGGCCGACCATCATGAGGTAATGCTGCTGGAAATGAGAGAATAGCTGCTGGACCAACAGAGTGCTAGACAGGATGTTGTAGAGGGCAATAACATTTAAATCGAATTCAACTGCTTTTTATTTTTGGATTAGTCCCAGATTAATTTAATTCATAGGGAAAGGGTCAACTAAACAATGTGTTTTGTTTTATTTTCTGGAAAATATAACCTTCTGTTTTTTGGTACTTTGTCCTATGATCCTAACCTGCTGGATGTCACAGTGTGCTATCTTTTTTTGCCACTATATTACTTGTTCTAGCTGGATGTGATGAAGGTAGAAGAACAATTCAAGTCAATTTAGCTGGTTTTGAAGTCGATGATTTGACTGGATATACCAAATCAGTGCGGCGCGCTGCAATTTTAATTAACCTAACGGGTATTGCTGATGAAGGCCAATAAGCAGTAATTGAGAAAACATGATTGGGTGTTGCTCTTTGAATTTGCAGACCCAATTTCTGACTCCTTCCATAGTAGCGATGCCGATTTATTCCACTGGAGGGCGATAAAAAGGCTTTCAGATTCATTGGGCGTTTAGTAGATTGGATGGTTTTTAATGTAATGCACAAAATGTTTATCTTAAGAAATCAGTCATAAGTCTCATTATGTATGAACTATTTTGAAAATATCTATACGTAAAAAAAAAAACTACAAGTGGCATAATAATTTGATCCATTCCAGCACAGTTTCATCCGTTTCATGCTTTCTTTTTTCTTGCTTTATTTCAACCATTTGACTTGAAAATGGCAAAATAAAAAAACTCTGTTGCATCAACAAAATTAAGCAGCATTTTTTTTTTGAAAGAAAACAATCTTGAAATAGTTGACCATCACTTTTTGTATTGTTGATTCATTGTTATTTTTGCACTGACATCCCGAACGGTAAATTAACCCTCAGTAGTCTCTACCGCAGCAAATAATAATTGTTTAACTTTTTTGCTGTGATTTTTGATATTTGATATTTCCATATCCAAGCCGCATTCATTCTTGGGACCAAATAGTAGATGTAGACAAAAAGCAAGGTAGAAGCTGCGGAGTAAATATGGTATTACAGTTCACATCATCATAGTGCTTTTCCTTTTTCTCTTTCTGAAGTGAATTTTTTTTATTTGGGAAAAATATGATGCAAATCTTGATGTCTATACATTTGTGAATATCTATGGAAAGGAGGGTGCATTTATGTTTTGTTTTAAAATGGGCATGTCATGCCTTTTACTTGGTTTAAGAGTGATGATCCTCCGTTGCAATTGGGTCTCATGGTTTCTTATGTGTGTCAACTTACACAAAATGGAAGACATGTAGCAAACCACATACTTCCCTGTTAAATGGGAAGGCCCTTAGCTATAGTTTAGAGCTGTCATCACCAGTAAGGAACCAGTCTACAAGCTTGCATAATATGAAACATTTTACCGTGTGTTGTATTCATTGTTTAGTTTCTTTGACAATTATTGTTGCTCAAATGAGTGGAGGTCATCTTCATATAAAGCCTTTGTAAGCATGGTAGCATTACATCGAGACTCCGTTTCCTACTCGCAGAAAGTTTCACAATGCTGTACCCCTATGTTCTGCTGCCCCACCTCATTGCTCTGCTCCTTTGTTTATTTTATCACTAATGCGCACACACACACACACACACACACACACACACACACACACACACACACACACACAGGCATCTTCACACGCACACACAAACATGTTCCGCCTTCCTTTTTTCCTGACCAAGAGGTTAGACTATATGGTCAGCGTTTTAAGTGTGCACTCAGTTTGATTAAAAACATAATGCATTACTATGTTAAGCCCAGCCCTCACCATTACCCCCCCCCCCCCCCCAACTGAATTAATAAATAAAGTTTTGGGATCATTGATGATTTTTGCTATAGTCCCATATCTTGGTAACCGTTTTTATCCTTCACTCCTGTCACCAACCCACCATTATATTTCATAAATGAGTGCTGGGCTTTGTCCCATTATACCATGCTGAGTGGTTTCATCCCAATAAATCCTCTTGTTATCCTGCACTAATATCTCCAAGTGATTTCATACTTTGGTGGAATATTAGACAATGGCCACCAATAGGATTGAAGGTTGGCTAAATGTTTCTTTTGTGTGTGAAATGTAAACATTCACTGCTTGTTTGACTCTCTCTCTATTCAGTCAGTGGTGTTAGAATGTTCACAGTGGAGTTAACCTTTCCTTCAACATCTCTCTTGAGGTTTGTGCGTTGGCAAGACTTCAAGACGGAAAATGCAGTGTGTGCCTCTCCGTCCTTGGCTTTGTCCGTGTCCCTACGACTTTTTTTTTCTTTTCATGTCTCTCTCTTTCTCTCTTTTGTCTACTCGTGTCTTCCTTTCTATTCTCATGCTGAGTTTGTATTGTGATCTATTTAATTTCACTCTTGAACAGGTCTGTGGCTGGCTACACAGCTTCCTTTATTCCTAGGTCTGGCATCATTATTTTGTTCTCGTTAGTATAGGTTTTCCAATTTAACCAGCTTCAAACACAGGCTGGTTGAAGGAGAAACTATTTGTAGATGTTTGGAGTCTTTGGAGTGGTAAAGGTTATATGTATCTCCATTTTGATTCCTTCAGACTGTCTTCTAACTTCTGTGGAAACAAAATGTCTGCCATGGCTATCTTGCACACTCTTGATCCTTTGATTCTTGCATTATTTGAATAGAATACACTTTAATGACCTTTGTCATGCATCAACCTACTTTATTAATTACTTAATAATACATTCTGTGGTGGGTTGATGGTGGTTGGTTGATAATAAGTCACTATGCTGTAAATGTTCTGCAAAGCTTTTGTCTGGAGGTAGCTTTGCTCGAAGTTAAATTATTAAAAAAAGCGTGGCACACTTTCCTTCAGGCCTTTATCTAAAAGTCTTATTAGAACATAATGCAGAAATAATTCAGCAATGCATGCCTATTAAAACAAATGTAATGACACATAATTCTATATCAATTGGTTGATTTAAACCTTAACCATGACATAGCTGTTTCAAATTAGCTTGTTTTAGAGATGTGAGATACCATAAGCCTATCAGAAGAGCTTCAGTAGGCTCTCACACCAGCTCAGGATTCACTCTAGCCATTCGCTAGAAGTAAATATAAGTGCATGTATTTCATGATGAGTTGAGGCATCGCCTGACAGTGACCGTTTGTATTACCCTTAACGTTTGAGGTGGTGCCCACTAATGTTTCATACATTTTTCTCCTCTCCTCTTTTTGCTCAGGATATTTTTGGGCCTCTGGTTGCTGTTTTGCTGCTACGTGCCTGCACTGCATAGTGAAAGAGGGGTGCTGTCAATTGTCAGTGCACCTAGGTGTGTCTGTTTGTGTGCATGCTTGTGTACGTTTGTGTAATGAGAGAGAGAGAGAGAATGCCAGATGGACAGATAAACAGATATATCTGTCATTGAGGTGGCTACATTTCCGCCATGCGTTTCTGTTCTCTTGTTTGTCTCCGCTCTATCAGTATATGTTTGTTGATGGGTATTTGAGAGTCTTAATTAGCCCAGATTTGATTTTGAATGGCAGCACGGCATGAATAGCAAGAGGAATAAAACAAATGGGAGGAAGAGATCAGTTTGAGAGCGATATTGATGGGAGGGAGAGCACAGACAAGCGGCTTAGGGAAGGGTGAGAGAACATGGAGTTGTCAGTAGAGGATTGTGAAGGATGTGCCACTTAGAGAAAGTAGGGATTCTTTGTGCCCTTTTATCGCTGAAAGAATCCATAATAGTCCAATTACCAAAAACTGAGAGTCCAAAGCAGAGAGAGAGCATGTTATGAAGGCACTGAGAGAGGGTTGTGACCACTTCTATTTGGCATTATATGTACGCGTGCATGTGTGTAGCTGGTGTGTGATATGCTTTCTCCGTTTGGGAAACAGGGAATTATCTCCAGTGTGCTGAAAAAGCCAATCTGTCTCTGACCATGGTGCTGAAGTTGCAGTTTACTGCAGGTGCGGCATACAGAAAGGCACGTTCCACTTTCTGTGCATGTGTGTCTGTTTGTGTGTGTTGGCAAATGTGGGGAAGGCCTGTGAGTGTGTGTGCGTGAGGAAGGCCCGTGAGTGTGTGTGTGTGTGTGTGTAAGAGTTTATTTGAGTTATGTGTGATTATACTGATGGCTCAACTAACTTTTGGTTTTCTTTGTGGTGTCATAAAGTGTTGTGTATATATCTTGTGCAAAGACAGGAGTGCAGTTTTTCCTGTTATATGCAGGCACCACATTTGCTATTGATGCTGTACTGAATACTGCATCAATTTGACGACGTGGACCATGTCAACTGAGGTTAATTCTGACTGTCATTTGACAGATTCCCCACACTTCAGCCTAGGTGTTACTAAAATGATGCTGCACTCAATTAAAACAGGCACAAATGGTTATAGTCTTCAACTACAGAGAACCCCAAAAGAGATGAGAACCACTCTAACTTGTACACTTTTGTAAGTCCTGAGATCATGAAAAAGCCTTCAACACATCACTCCACAGTGCTGCAGTGCAGGAGCTCGACTGACCCAGTATGTTGAAAAAAGGAGGTGGAGGGAGAGGAGAAAGAGAGAGAAAGGGGGGTGCAGAGGGAGAGCGAGAGTAAAAGAGAGAAAGGGCGATTCTCAACCCTCTGCTACTTCTGCCTCCGTCTGCACTGTAAAGCTCTGCATTCGTATTGTTTGCCTTGTGAATTTTGGGTCCCTGGAGATTGTGGCCCTCTCTCCTGTCTAAAAAAAATACTGCAAGTTTGTGAAAAGTTGCAGTCATTTGTGCTGCTCAGCAGTGCGCTACATACCTTGCTCTTGTATATACGAAAGATTAGCAATTTGTGTCATTATCACTCATTTCAGGAAAGGGGAGAGGGAGGAGGAGAGGCATGATTTCATCAAATAAAATATGGAGCATTGTGTCCCTTGCTGGTGTTCTGAATAGACCATCTGTCTTTGTTCCGCAGTGTGGGCCCTACTTTGTGCTTTAGGATGGCCAGTAGTGAATTTTATAAAGATTTCTTTCATTCTATTCCTTCTTCTGTTTCTTTGTATCTTTTTTTTCTTTTTCACATTTGAACAAAGTCAATCATCTGTTTCCTCCTATGACTCTTAATCTCATGTTTCTCCTTTTTCTTCTTTTTTTCAACATTCACACTTGTGTCTTTCTCTATCCATTATAGTGCACAGATCTCCATCAGTACATCTTTCCCATCCATGTATCTCTTATTTAGTACACACAAAAAACAAACTGTTGACTTGGCGACCTTGCTGCTACTCTGTGGGTTGTGCACGGCAGGCTAATATCCCACTGACACCAGTTTAGTTCAGTCATGTAATTTGTACTTTTCTTTAGCGGACATGGTACAACTGCTTTTGCAGCTAGTTTCCAGTAAGGCGACTGTATGTATTTATGCGTGTGTGTGTGTGTACGCGCCCATCTGTCTGGTTGCGTTACCACGGTGCGTTGCTTTTTAGAGAGTGCTCCATCACATCTACAAGTGACCTGAGAGAATGAGCCAAACTGGTTGTAATAACAGTCTGATAACTGAGTAACACAATAAACCAATCTTTTTTTATTTCCAAGATATCGAGTGCCTGCTGTTAAAAGGTGGCTATTTATTTTATTGCTGGCAACATAAAAGTACCGTTTTGAGGATGAGCATACTGAATGGTGAGACTGATTGCTTTACAGTTACTAGATACAGGCTTAAACATTTAAACTTCTTTTTTTAGAGAAAATTAAGCTCAAGATAAAAGAGGCTGAGGTCTCTTTTGTGCCTGCGTGTAGTGGTTTGACTTTCAGCTGCTCTACTAGGATTGTGAATGGTTTAGTTGGCCAAGGCCATGTGCCGGTGGCTGGTGTAGCTTATGTGCGTGCTTGTTTCAAGTATATAATGCTTCTTACGTAAAAACAGCTTTCGGGGGGGGGGCAGTGCTGTTGCAGATTTAGGAACGTTTGGCATTCAGAGATTTAGTGAAAGCAAGATCAAGCTTTCGATTTAGACATAAAAGCATGTTGAATTTATGCCAGCCCTGAACGGCCTAGTGCGGACTGCTGTGCCAGCACACTCTACAAATGTGAGTGACATTGGAATTGTAAATGGAGAGGAAAGAAAAATAGGAGGGAAGCAGAGGTGATGAATGAAGAAAAGACGATAAAGAGAGAAAGACTGGAGATGAAGAGTTGGTATGAAGGGAGAAGGCTGGGTTTCTTCTTCTTTGGTTTGTGTTTTGAGGTGGAACAACTCACACTAATGCTTCAAAAAGGCTGCACAGACTACAACAAGGAGTATTTGCATGGGAAATACATTATTCATGTTTTAGCAGGGTCAACATGATACAAAGCTGAATTCATGAGGTCGAGTGAGGTGTCACGTCAGATTGTACCTTGAGCTATATAAATCTTGCTTTTACACATGATTATGCATATGAATAAAATATATGGTATTTGCTTACACTCACACACAAACACTTATCCACAGGAAAGACAGCAGGGTTTTAGACTTAGTAGAGCTGACTTACATTTATTTCTGTGCGATTGTATTTGTGTTTCTAACAGTGCGTATCACCTCTCTTTATGTGAGCGTGTGTGTGTGTGTGTGTGTGTGTGTGTGTGTTGCTGGCTCTGGCTGTTCGATCAGCTTGCTGACTTCCATTAGCCCCAGGCTACGATAGTGGCACGAAGAGGGGTCAGGTTGAGCAGAGGGAAGCAACTGAGGAGAAGCAGGGAGGACTGATTAAAGACATACGGTAAAAGATTGAGAGGACGGAGGTGCAATTAACAGGACCGCATTGGTCAAATTACATGACTAACTATGCTGACAAGACTATCACTTGGAATTTCAATTGCCATTCTTCAAGTTTTCGTTCTCGCTTATGTATTCTTTTGTTTTCGACCCAGTTTTAGTCCAGAGACAATTTTGTCATTGATCCTTCATGCTCAAAGGCCCAAACCTTAATCTGTTGTTTAAACTCTGTCGCGGTTGGTATTGTTTTTACCTTTAGTGTCGTGGTGGCAAAATTGGATCCTGGAGATCCCTATAGCAGGAACGACCACAGAGGCAGTCTTGAGTACTTTGCCAGGTATCTGTCTCTGGACAGATTTTGTCAATGCAATAGTGCAAGATGCAGTCACGAAACTGTACAGGAGTGTAGTTGAACTCAAAATGATGGCCGCAGTTTCAAAGATGAGCATGATCTGCGCAAGGCCGCATGAAGTAAGAGTGGTAGGAAGTGTGCCCAATGTGGCATCGCAGCTTGTTCTATCCCGTCACAAGATGGTCTTGAGTTTCTTGTAGTATTTACAAATATGTCGTATATAAAGTCTTTAAAAAAAAAAAACAACAGGGTTGTGTTTTAAATTGTGGTTGTTGGACCTTTAAAGGTGCAAGATACAGGATTGGGAGCATTTCCATTGCCGCTCAACAGCTCTAAACATAGCGACGGCGGCTCATAGCCAACGCTGCTAACGGCGTAAGAGTGACCTCCACTATATCTTTATATAGCCAATAGGTGTTTGCTGCTATATTAATGTTGAGGATATTAAATACAGCTCCTTTAAGAAATACATTGTGTGTGTGTGTGCGTGTGTGTGTGTAGGCAGTTGTTGCCTTTCAGCCCACCAAGACAAGCCAGTGGCATGTCCTCGCCCACTGGCACTGACCTGATGTTATTTCTGCTTGGTTAGTAAGTGTAATGACGCATAATGTGTCTCTATACTGTATGTGTGTATGGCCGTGACTGTGTTTCTTTGTGTGTGTATGTTAAGTGTGAGTAATGATGTGGATCCGTTGCGCTATAGTGAGAGTGCTCTGTAACTACTACTACAGCAGAGAGGGGCAAAGATTTACGGAGATTTTTGCCTAATGAGCAGGGATTACTTGCATTGTTAGCGCTAGTGCCGAACAATACAGGGGTTTGCTTAATTAAGGCCTGAACGCTTTTAGAGGATCAGCACTCACTTACACATGCCTATGCATTTCTATACTCTAGGTAATGAATATATTAACAGTCACACAGATGCCGGATGATTTTTTTATTGCCAAACACTTGTGAAAAAAGGAATTACTTTAAAATGTACTTTTAATGGGTAGATCACAGAAGACACTATTCTAATTAGTCCTGTGGATGGCATCCTGATCAAGTGGTGTTAGACTATGATGTGTCTACATCCTGAGTGTATCACAAAGGAGTGCGTACAGATGTAACCTGTTATAATACATAATAGATAAGACCATGACTGTAATCTGCAATACCATGCAAAGCCCGGGCACTTAGAACACACGCATCCTGTTTGGAATTTATAGAGCTCTGCCTCTAAAGTGTGATCGTAGGCAGAGCATGCGTTTCTTCTTGCCACGGCTAAGCGATTGTTATTTAACACCACCACAGAAATTATACAGTCTCGCCACCAGGGAAAAATTGACGTCAAGCACCTGTTTTTTTTTTGTTATTCAAATAAATGTCTTACTGGTGTCGGTTGGTCTACTAGCTACGGCTGTGTGTGTGTGCGCGCGTGTGTTTGTTTCTCGGAAGAATGTCTAGAGAGTATGTGGGTTGTGGAGTGAATCCATAATGCAGCCCTATAATTCAGCCAGAATGCTGATTCACAGCCACGGGCAGGACGAAAGCAGCAGGTTTGCTTTAGCACACTGCATGGGTGTACGCTCGTTTTGCAAATCAGCATGCGTCCTACACGTCTGCTTTGCTTGAAAGTGTTTATTGTATGTTTGATGATATCTTCTGTCAGTGTCTATTCCTGTGTCTTCCCTGCAGGTGTATGTGAGTATTTGTATGTAGACAGGCATGCATGCAAGTGTGTGTGTGCACGTACAGCTGCTGCCAGGCAGCGAGGGCAGCACCAGGCAGATCTCAGCTGTGTATGAGTGAAGCTGAGAACCCTTAAGGAAACATAACTAGACAAGAAAGAACAGAGACCCCTGCAGTGTGTATGCGTGTGTGTGATGAGTAAAAGAGAGAAATTCCGTGCAAGGAAGGGAGAGCGAGTTGGATAGTGCAGATAGAAAACCAGGGAGGGGAAAAAGCCCCCACCCACTTCCCCGCAAGCTGCTGTCACTCTTCTCTCCTCTATCTCCTCTTCCACCCTGGTCCTTTCTTTCTCCCCCTCTCCCCATCTCGCCCGGAGAGGAGAGGGCAGAGTGCGATAAGAAACCAGGGGTGTGAGTCTGATGAGATGGAGAGGTGAAGAGAAGAGAGCATGGGAGATAAACAGTGTGGACACTGCAGACAAGTGAATTTATAGACACCTAAAGAGACGAAAAATGAATGGGGAGAAGGGGAGAGAGAGGAGACAGTGAGGTAAAAGGGTAGGAACTATTTCTAAATGTCTGGTGTCTGAGCGTGCTTAACTGCTCCGACTGAGTAATTTTCCGGGGACCATGCGGTTTTGAGAATGACTGAGCGGTGAAGAGGAGAGCCGAGCAGGTGATGGACAGCTGAGTGAGGAGGAGAGACTGTAAAATGTAAAGCTCTAACACTGTACCTTCCATCAACGGCAAGTCAGGCAGTAATTTGGACTGGCACTCAAGGCAAAAGCCAGGGTGATTTATCATCATTTGAACTGGTCATTACACCAAATTATTTTCGATTTAAAAAAAAAAAAAAACGTCACAGAGGATTTGCACTGAGAGATTGCTGCTTCGTTTAATTGCTGCATTTAGCATTTTTGCTAGCATCACTGCTCCGAGTGCGAGAAGAAATGGAGGAAGATGAGAAGTCTGGGAGAGGGGAGGAGAAGGACGGGTAATAGTGAGAGTGGGAGAGAGAGAGATGCACATGTAGCCTCTCTCAGTTCCTTTCATGGTTTCAGAGGCAAAAGGTAACCCAACCTACATCCAAAACAATATTTTATTTCATCAGAGGTGGTGTCCCTCTTTCTGACCGGGGTCACTCCTTCACTCTCTTCTTTCTCTCCTTCTCCTCACATCTTTCTCCTTCACGCCATGTCTTGGGGCAGCAGCAGTTGATGGATCGTTCAGGTCGGAAGGGTTGACAGGCAGGTTGATGTAAGAGACAGAGAGACGCAGAGTGCACACGCGTGTGCGTAAGAAATTTTTTTTTTTTTAAATCCAGAAAGAGAGGGAGAGAGAGGATGGGGGTAGCCTCCTTACTCTTTTGCCCTCTCTTGTTGCCCCATCCTTTGAACTTCTACAATCATCTGCTGATACTTTGGCCGCGTCTATTTTCCCCATCCTTCTCCCTCATTCTGTATCATGGTTTTACAGCAGTGCTTAGGAGCAGCAGTAGCCTAGAGGCTGATGTGGCAGGCCTGTGACCACGAGATTGCTGATACAAATCTCTGGCCAGGCAAGGAAAGCATCGATGGGGAATGTGAATGAGAAACATATTTACTCACTAGTTACACATGGGTTAACATTTGAAGAAAAAGTTTGACGTTTTGGGAAATACCCTTATTCGCTTTCTCGCTCATTGATTGCACACTTTAATTAGTTAACAAAGCACAAAGACTCAAAAATAGGGTAAAGCAGATAGTTTGACGAAATGTAAAAGAAAAAAAAAAAGATACCTACCATCCTTTCTAAAGCTCATGAATGAATATGTGAAGTCTTGTTTGTTGTGGTTGTACAGGGGGTTACGTGCCAGAATATTTCTGGCCAGGCGCAATAACAATGGGAGCGTATCCATGTTCCTAGCGTCCTATGGTCCCCAGTTTAATTACCTCTTGATATGACACATGGACAAGACCTGTGTCTCATGTTTTATGTTTCTCTAGGTCCAATGTTGAATCCACCCACCTACAGCGAGTAGCTACACATGTTACACTCATTGTCTTGCCCTTTTCTCTTTTTTTTCTTGAGACATTGATATTTCAACTAAGGGTGTCACAACTTTGAAAATTGCTTGAATAGTGCTTTCAATTTTGACCATTGAGGTCAAAAGCAGG